TCACCACCACAACCACAATTGAAGTGTTCCGTACCCCGGTAAGGGAACACAGAGCAGATCTGACAAACTGAACTAGATGTGATGAAGCCTTTCTTTAGTTGGATCCAGCGAATCCGGATAGGGTTGTGGCTCTGCCCCCTCCACCGGTACCCAGTGTTGATGATCGGCCGGTGTTGCTGAGAGTAAATGGACCGGGCTATGAAAAGTGGACCAGTCAAAGGTAAGTTACCGCATCGGAGCATAAGCTTATGTGCTGAGTGCAGCCATCGTACAGCATTAATGGGAGAATCCCGTAAGGGGGGGGGGAGGGAGTCGCACCAGGCCGCCAGAGAGGGGAGTCGTGTTTGGTCGATGCGGTTCGTATCTGGCTCTGAGAGGAGTTTTCCAAGCGCGATAAATTTTTCTCCGGTATGGGCTTTTCAATTTTTCTTGTTTCATGTGCGTTCTATACCCGAACAGCACCCTCTGGTTCTGTGTGGGTATGACTGTATGACTCCGAACCCCTTGTTGGCTCCGCCGTAAAACCACTACCGATTGAGGGCAGACATAGGCAATGCCAACGCTATTGTTTTGGGAGTTGATTGGTGACCGCCTACCCACTCCCTCCCCTTGGAGCCAGTTCTGTCAGGAAAATTTGGAAAAATCTAGGGAAGTTGGGTGGACTCAGCTAAAAGATGAGAGAGAAGAGGCACAAGTGCGCTTGCGAATCTCGTCCATATCTGGGCGGAGCCTACTTGGATGGATGGACATACTTCAGCAACAAATATCAAGAAAAAATTTCTAGGACAGAAACCCTCATCAACGATCGCCCTGTTCAAAGTGCTTCAAACAATCATGGAAAGGCTGTTCAGTGGAAAGAGACGTTGGTTGAAGATCAACAAGGAAAGAGGAAAGTGTACGTGCTGTTGTATGCTCCGCTTATCGATTGATTGATTACCCTTATTGATGCTTGTGTTTTCAGCTACGATCCATATGCCGGTGAACGATCACCCTTCGCGAACGCAGTAACCTCTCCACTTCCTCCAGCTCGTCGACAGTTCCAACTCCCAACCGTGAACTCATTTGATGAGCGGTAAGCGAAGACTTTTGATTTACTATCTCCTTACTCACTTCTACATTTCTCCGCTGGTTGTGCTATCATTGTGTGGGTAATCCAGAAATTCTTTTACGGGTCAGGAGGTCCGAGCTGCGGCAGCGCTGCGAAAATTGCATTGGAAGTCGCGTGTGCGGTCACCACAACTCAAATGATGTGTCGCAAAAGTGTCACAATAAGACCAATCAGTTCGCTAGAAAATGCTGTCAGCAGTTTCATGTCGCCACAACTCGAACCTCCTGGCCCACACTGCCACAACTGGAACCCACACGCAAGAATTTCGACCACTGTCGGTTATTATGAGTCAGAGCTTAGCAACAGTTTCCTTCCCGCTGGGAGCTCCCCTCCCCCATTCTAGGGAGACTGTAAGGACAATCGCGAGCTGGCTGTGCTCGTCGCACGCGACACGTCGCGCGGTAGGAAACGCGACATTTTAGGAACAGGCCAAGTCCGGAGCTGTACGTTGGGGATCCCAAGCTAGGGGGTACTATTCGGTCACAGTAGAGGGTTGGGTCGTGAGTGCCTCTAAAAAATGTTTTCGGTCATTGATTTTTCTCCATTTTTCCTATTTCATGTGCGCTATTCTTCCTCCTCCCTTGAAGACGAACTAGAGTGATTTTGGGAAAAACTCCAGGAAAAAGGCTCGAAGCCTCGAAAACCCAGGAAGACAGGAGATAGGATGGGGAATGGGACATGGGTTTGTACCAGAGAAGGAATTTGAGGGAGGATCGTATCTTACAAAACTTTCCGCAGTGGCAGGACATGCCCTGATGGGCTCAGTCTGTTGTTTTCCAAGTTGCGGCGAACCGTCAACCCACGAGTTTTCCTGATCAGTCCTCTTTCCACAAGTAGAAGTTGCGTTGTCGTAAGAGGGAGTCATCCAGTTGCATTCTCAAGCATTCCTAACTTGTATTAAACATTAGTTGGCAAAAGTGCTGCATAGTTCCTCCCACATGGTCACCAATAACGCGCGAACCCATCGATTTAGGTAGGGCAGCGTTCATAGTTCGCGACGCCAGCGATCGCGCGTTCAAATGTATTGATCCTACAATTCGAGAGATCAACGAGCGTTTGGATCGCGCAGTCATCGCGAACTGTAGAGGCTGCCTGAAAGGGCGGCTTATATACGGTACAGTAGCCTTAACCACCCATCTTTTCAGGTTGCTACCGCGCTCTACGAGCAGAACTGCATATTTCGTTAAGTCTCCAACGGAGTTCTCAACAGTTTCTCACCCAGTAATAACCAGTTCGAACGAGGATCTCAGTAGGTATGGTCTGGTTACTTTAAGGTTATCACAATTTATTGTTATCTAATTTGTCTTGCCTTCAGGTCGCCCTACCAAGGAGCCCGATACCATCCGAATCTGTTGGCTATCACGAAATCGTTTCTCATCCGGCGGTTCCCGACACGAAACTCGATTACCGTACCCAGCACAGTGAAACTCCGATTCTAAGTCAGTCATCGCAAGGTGGATATGAGCAAGTGCGCCGTCCCGCGACGGCATTACCATCTGCTCCTTTGATTACTTCCACCAACGGGAATATGTCTCGCAGCCCCTCCAGTCCGCTATACGTGGAACCGAAGCGTGACAGAGCTGAAAGGCCTAAGATACCTCCGCCACCTCAACCGCCGCGACGACGCTCGCGGCGTTCGCACAGTTCGCACAGGTATCGACGAGATCGCGACGACGGACGGTACGAGCGACATCGTAGCGAATCGCCCATCTATCGTCGACCGGCTGTCACCACGCCGAATTACACAGCAGTGCAACCATCTACCGTATCACCCGGATACGGTGGTCGTTTGGATCCAAACATTCTACCTGGTGAAGGACCGTCAAGGGCAAAATCTCAAGACATTTTCAATCTATACCAAACACGTGACGTCATGCAGAACGTCGTCGCACAATTGTGAGAATTTTCCGCTTACTTTCTTACTTTCTTCAATCGCATGCATTGTCCTTGGTTGGTTATCGATTAGTGCGTTGCGTTTATAGTTCGCAGGGGCGGACGCGGCATTCGAGTGATCGCGCCATCGTCAAAAATAGATACATATTGATCGCGTAGATCTTATATTCGAGAGATGAGCGGTCTTCTATGTTGCGCGAACGCCGATCTAGCGAACTATGAACGCTGCCTTTAACTGAGCTTAGACATCGCGATGACGCACGTCAGTGTTTTTGGAGGTTATAGGAAGTTAGGATAGTGTTAGGCTAGTTCATACTTTGCGGCAGCGTCCACTAGCGACCACCAGCTTCTCGGGTGTCCACCAGCGCCAGCGACTAGGAGAGCATGGTTATAGATCTAGCGGACGCCAGTGTTCACCAGCGCCTACCAGCGTCCACCAACGTTCGGGACAGGAGAGC